TCCAAATTCATCACACCCACTTGCATAATCATGAAATCAAACCAAAACTTAAGCTAAAAACACATCTTAAAGCAAGATTCAAAGCAACAAAGATCATGATCAAATGTTGGTACCTCAAAAACAAGGCTTGGTAGAGTGATCCTTCACCCCCTTTGATATTTCTTGGTTCCTCAAGCTTCCTAACTCACAAGCTACACTTTAATCGGTTTGGATTTGGATTTGTTACTTGGGTTGAAGCAAATCAAGAAGATGGAATTGTTTTCCTTTGGTGTTTTTATCTCGTGTCTCTCTCAGCCAAGCAGCAGCAAAATGAAGGGAAAAGTTGTGAAATTTGGAGTTAAATGGAAAGACCAATTCTTGGTCAAGAAGCTCTAAGGTGGCGACACATGTCGCCACCACCACCTTTCTTTTTTTCTCTTTCTTTCCTTGTCATTTTAGCCACTAATTTCGGTCAGCCTTAGCTGTAATGAAGAAGATATTTTGCTCAAGTTCAATAAGTTTGTTTGGTAAGAAAAATGGTGGTCAAGTGGTGCGTTCAAACGGTAGTGCGCGGGACCCGCCGGTTCGCGCCGTTTTTCTTAAAAACTCACGTAATAGGGTTTTTAATTCCCATTCACTAACCTTATATCATTGCTACTAGTCACATATTATTTCTCACTTAAAAGTCACTTTTAATCCCCAAACTTAATCCTTACTCTGTACCGAAAATTCATCCGGCGAAAAATCGCGAAAACCCTAATTTTGCTCCGATTTTGAAACCAAAAGTGAAACCCTACTTTCTAGGTTCATTGGCACGTATTGTGGGGTGATTTAGTAGTAGGGCCACTATAAAGTGGTATTTGTCAAAGAAAAGGGAATTTTAAGAAAAATATAAGGAATTTGCACGGCTTCTGGCCGGATTCCCCACAAAATACTATTCACCAGAAATTTTTTCCTTTTCTTCTGCCTCGGGGCGTTACATTTTGTCTTTTGGTTTATATATTAGGCTCTATATATAGCTGTTCACAGAGTTTGGAGTTATGTTGTATTCCTCAAAAATGCAAAATAAATAAATGAATAAATGAAGAAGATCACAAATTTGGAATCATGAGAAATAATAATTCGAACAGATTATTAATAAAAATATAAAAAGGGGTCTTAAAGCTTTCATTGTTGAAGATCATTGTCATGACAGCCGCTAATCTTGCCTTACAAGTCCCAAATTGGCCTTTTTATTTGTTCATGAGGTCGGCATTGGACCACTCCTTGTGACCAAAGGAGACAAAAATTTATTGGCTTGGAAAACTTTACTAGTTTGCGGCCACTGCTTGGACCCAAAAAGACATTAATTATATTGAAGAAGAAGAAGCAACTTTTTCTTAGAGGACATGGAAAAAGAAATGTAACAGAAAGGGAAAAAAACCCGTACAGAACTGAAGATCACTTCGCCTTCTCTTCTTTATTAGTTTCTCATACAGAAAAGAAAAACAAAAGCACAATTGAACACACACACACACAATCTCTCTGGCAAAATGATGTCCACGTTGTTTTAATATATGTTGTTTAGTATTTCCAATGAGATATAATTTTTGTTAGATAAATACAGTTGCTGACCAAAATTTTTAATTTGGGAAAGAACTTTTGCTCTTTCTTTTTCAGATTCATCCCGAATTAAAAATCTTCGCATGTACAAAAAAAAAGAAGAAAAATTAAAACACCCAGTAAGAGTTTTATTTTACCCCAAAATAAATTTTAATGTCGTAGAAGAAATAGTTTTAAGGGCATTGGAGTTGCTTGCCTTGTTGGAGGGCATTGCTGGGCAACTAGACCTACTCGGGGGGCAAGAAATCGAACGGGTTAAACAAAGGTAGAAATTTACAAGATAAAAGACAAAACGAGAATAGTGTAAGCCACAAACATCACTGTCATAACGTTACATGACTGACAACTTCTCCTCTCTGGCTGGCTCCAGTCTAGACAGGTGTGCGAACTCGTTTCAATACAGGATTAAAGATGAGTTCAGATTTCGCTGAGATGATATTACATAGAGATGGCAAAAAGTTCAGTGAAGACTAAAAGTCACATATCCCCACCCCAAAAAAAGAAAGGGCACAGGGATAGAGTTGTTGGTGGTAGAGGAAGAGAGTAGGGAAAGGGGAAAAAAGCCTTGGCTTTGCAGTTTTTTGGCTGTGCAGGTTTTTGTTTGTATTCAGGAAAACAGAATTGAGCTTTTCTTAGCTTCCATTTGGAAATATGATCATATAAACAATTGGTAGAATATGTATAGTTATGTTTTTCCTGTCATTTATTTTTGTAAACTTGGCATAGAAAGAAGATAAGGGAAAAATCATAGAGTGATGAAATGGTCTTTTGGGGATTTGGTGGATTCACCAAATGAGAATGAAAGGCTGAAAAAAGAAACACTTTTATACATAGTTAATTTTTACCACATTGATAGAGTAGATTAACGTATTAATTATGTGATCAACAAGACAATGTGATTAATGACAGAAATTATACGACAAATAATGAAAAAAATATAACAATTTTGAAAGTGGCATACCTCATATACCTGCCAGGAAAATTTTGCAATTGTCAGGTGATTTTGTCTTTTGGTTTATATATTAGGCTCTATATATAGCTGTTTACAGAGTTTGGAGTTATGTTGTATTCTTCAAAAATGCAAAATAAATAAATGAATAAATGAAGAAGATCACAAATTTGGAATCATGAGAAATAATAATTCGCACAGATTATTAAGAAAAATATAAAAAGGGGTTTTAAAGCTTTCATTGTTGAAGATCATTGTCATGACAGCCGCTAATCTTGCCTTACAAGTCCCAAATTGGCCTTTTTATTTGTTAATGAGGTCGGCATTGGACCACTCCTTGTGACCAAAGGAGACAAAAATTTATTGGCTTGGAAAACTTTACTAGTTTGCTGCCACTGCTTGGACCCAAAAAGACATTAATTATATCGAAGAAGAAGAAGCAACTTTTTCTTAGAGGACATGGAAAAAGACGCATTCATTAATCAGTCAAAACTGGCGCATGATGATTTAAGACATCAAGGCAGTAGCAGCAAGCAACAAAGCATTTTTTTTTCCTTCCATTTCCATGCTTTTGAGCTTCAAGCTGCTAAATCAATGTTTCAGTCTTCAGTTGGTTGTGTGGAAATTTTCAATGTTTGTCATTCTTAATTCCTCTATATGCGTTTATGATGTCTAGTTCCTTTTTATTGATATTTTTAAAACTGATTGAAAACTTTTGTAGTTGATTATTATTCTATTCTTTGCAGAGTCTTGGGAAAAAAAATTCGAATGCCTTGGTCCACCTAGCTCTTTTCAACTACAATGAATTTGGTCTAGTCACTTCATTTTCTTTGCCGTGGTTGATGGATTCAAATGGATAGATGAAGTGGATGTAGTAGTAGTCAAATTGTGAAGTGGAGCAAATTTGTAGTTGTCTTATGGCTGGATTTTTATATTTGAAGGACAAATTACTTTGTTTTATTTGTTATTTCTATGTTAATGTTGGTTATGCAGTTAATGAATAATGGAATTTAGTCATTTAGTATTTTAATTATTTTTTAGGATGATTAATGATTTGTGTGGCATATTTAAGGCTTAGAATAATTTGGATTCGAACTTTTCTAGCGTGTTTGCGAACGGCTCGTTTATGTTAAACGAACCGAACACGAACACATGTTTAGAGTTCGAAAGTTAACAAACGAACACGAATGGAGTTCGAATCACTTAACGAATAGAGCTCAAACATGAGATACTCGATTCATTTCGGTTCGTTTACAGCTCTATCTGCAGGGTATATTATATAAATATTAAAAAAATAAGGGTTCATTATATAATTTTATAATTTTTAATCCTAAGTATAAGTAAAGTGGTTCACAACCTCATATTTTAATCTCATATGATCCGCCTCTCCTTATCTTGTTTAAAAAAAGTGAATATTCTTGGTGAAACCTGAACCAAATGAATAAAACAAAGAAAAATTTGTGAAACTCTATCATAAAAATTATTTATCTCTTTCATCCTTTTTCATTTTTATTTTACTTGCATCAATATTTTCTGCAAAATTTTGATCAATTCAATCAAATATTTGTGTTTCGAGCTCCAATTTTTTGTTAGCTAGATAATTAAAACATTTGTGCCTTTCATTCATTTAATTATTTTATTGCAATTGTGTCTCTTAAATTTGTTTCCTTTATTTTAGTGCAAGAAATTTATTTTTCTTTTTCATCACATTTAATGCAACAAGGTCTATTCCAAAGATGTAAGAAAGTTGGGGAAAATTTTTCAAGATTATTTTGGTTATACTTTCTTCAAAAATTATTAGCTCTGTTCAATTCTTTTCCGAACTTGATTCCACAATCGACTCATTTTGGATGCAACCTTGTACCATAATATTCTTAAAGAAGTTGGAAAAGTTGTACTTATTATTCTTGTGTTTAATCAGAATGGTGATGTACTCAAAATTATCATAAAACTTTGTTTTATCCTTGTGTTTGTTATACTTGAAAAAGTTAGAAAAGTTGACATATCCTTATTATCCTTGTGTTTGTTATGTTACAGAAGGATGAAATGCGTGAGAACGGTGATGTACTCAAAATTATTATAAAATTTCGTTTTATCTATTAGATATTATAATTCTAATATGTATTAAATTTATGAGATCGGTTTGATTATTGGATGAAATGTGTGAGAATGGTGATGCATGGATTTTGATTATAATATATCTACTAATGTTAATTAGAAAGCATATTTTTTTTATTGGAAAACATGTTGATATTATGTGAAAAAATTTTTATTGAAAAATAGTTTTTTTTTTAGGGGTGGGTACCCTATGACCCTTCCCTTTTTTTAAAAAGCATTAGGAGCGAGTTAGGATCGCAAAATGGCTGATCCGATATTTTAGGGTCGGGTCAGCCATATCTTGTTAGGGGCGGGTACCCGACCCGTGCTCACCCCTACCAACCAATACTAGTTTTGGATGAAAGTTGCAAACCTTTTAACTTGGCAAAGGCACGCCAAATCTTCTTCAAGCGCGTGAACTTAGAATGGTAGACGGTCCAGCTATACTGCTTTTCCCAGGTACAATTAAGGTATGAAGCAAGTTTCATCCAATTGGCCTTTGATGCGATGTTTGGATTCCATTCCCCACTCTTTTTCCATTCTACGTACGTCATATAGAAGTGCATCTCCATGTTTTCATCCTAATGCGTTTTTGTAATGGTGTAATCTTGAGATATCTATAGAATAAACCAAATGGACAGTTGCATGTTTAAAAGCTGGTTTACAAATTTGCATCAATGACTGCAAGTTTGCCATATTCGTAAGCTAATTTGAAACTTTTTAATTACAGTAGCCAATGGACTTGAATGGTCAAGCAACTTGCAGACTTGAATTTAAGGACTAATAGCACATACCGTGACCTATCTAAATTGGTGCCCATATTTGTTTATTGTCTGAGTAACATATAAGCTAAGATGGCACCACTATAATAGAATTCGATTTTACAGGTGCCAAACATCAACTCCTTAACTTAATAACCACTTTTTTTGTAACTCGATGCTGGTTGCTAGAAATTATTTGAGTAAACTACCTATTTTGTTATCTGAAGTGTCATAAGTGAAGAGGGTAGCCAATAATAGATGTCACGCCACAATATCAAGGTAGATGTATGCAAGCAAGTTCCAAATACATTATACTAATATTGAACAATACAGAGTACAAGAGAAAACAAAATGTTCAAGTAATCGGTAAAAAGATGAATTAATAGATGTGCATGAACCAAATATAAGTAGGGTCTAAATTTGTTGAAAGTATTAATTCTCACTGTTAATAAAGGTTTTATTACAATCAAACAGCTACGGGCATGGATGATGGATATTCATGAGACTTACTCTGAAGTAGTTAACTAGGGACTGAATGTAGTCATTAGAGTCAGTGACAGAGTGGACGGATAAAGTCTTAGAAAGACAGGCGGGAGTAGTAGGACCATACAATGATCTCCTCCGCTTGTTGGACATTTGTTGGTGCTCAACGTGTAAACAGTAGGTCATGATGATCTAGACCTCACACAAGTAGGAGCCAAACAAATTTGTGATTAAGCAGTCACAATTTGTGTTGGAGATTGCGGGTGGTTAGGGAGACCTAATATGTAAATCTTGAAGCTGCTACTACTCTGCGGGACAAAAAATTGTCCAATAATAAAGAGAGGTAGCACCACGCCTATTTTGCCCAAGTCAAATTCATGTAGGTGATTACCAAATGGACAAAAGCAATTAGGGCTAACGGTAACATTATAGGGGGAACAAGGTGATGTGGGCACTATAGAAAGAGGAACGACTAACCTTGTCGTCAGATTGGGGAACCCGTCGAAGAGCAATTGTGACAACCACCAATTTAGTTGTGAATATAAGCTAATAGATTTCAATTTGTCCTTTAACTCCCTATAAATCTGATTAGCAAATTTGGCCGAGCCAATCTTTAGGTTTGAAATTACGAAAGTTGGAAGATGCAGAAACAACAAAAAATAACTTCTATCGACTTTAGCTTTTCAAGCTTGGCTGACACACTGATGCTAGCTCTTCTCGTCAATAGCAGAATGTATTTTACGAGGTAAAAAATTGCAATAGGGTGGAGAGGTTGGTGGCACTTGTGCGGAAGAATTGTGGGCTAATTCGACGTCAGACACTTTTTGTTTTCTTCACTACTCAGCTATCACAACGGGTAGGGTATGCAAAGACATCCCATGCGTCTGGTCAGCAATCCTTTATTTGATTTTAGAAATTCTTCCTGACCATTCATATGAATTGCTGATTTTAATAAAGTTTATGCAGTAAAGTTGGTAAGGTTCCTTAAAAAACTATATAGTTTTAAAAACCAAATGTTTGAAAATTGATGTGTCCAAACAAAGTTTTGAAAACTTTATTTTCACAACTAAATTAGGCAAACCAAATATCCATTCCAAGCATACCTACTAACAATTAACACTAACAAAGATGATGTTAAGCACTTTGGTTGGACTTCAATCTGCCAACTCCTGCATGACCTTAGTGAGGTTCACCAAGGGTAAATTTTCTTCGTTAGCATCTTTAACTGCATTTGATATCCCAACTATATCTTGCACTGTTTGGACCATATTTTGAAGTGACTCATTAAGTTTCATTTGAACCATATTTTGAAGTGACTCATTAAGTTTTGTGGCATAAGCATGTGTCATTGGACCCACTAGCATAATCACGGGATTGACCTGAGTTCCTTGATCAACTGGACAGCTTGAGCAACTCCATCACTGCAACTATGCCTATTGAATTGAGAACAATTTTCTTGACAACCAACTTGTAGTGTTGGAGAATCTGCTTTTGAAATGAAGTTGGGGGAATCTAAAAATCATGCTAGAAATGCTTCTCACATATCTTTATATACTCTAAGGAAGGAAGTAAGTGGGCACGCCAGGCTATCATCAAAATACGCTTTTAAATGCGATATATACCCATTGGTAGCCATTAAAATTGACAAGATACAAAATAAGGAGTAAGAGGAGAGAGACCAAGGGCTTACTTGTTTCAGAAGAAGAATAACAGGGAACAAAGAAGGGAATTTGCTAAAAAGATCGAGGATTGTGAAAAAATAGAAGGAGCTCTGGTATTACATCTTCCAGCAGTATCAAACCACAATAAAAAGTAAGACTGAAGAAGATGTCTTGAAATTGAGTACCTGTTGTACATGTATTAGAAGTAATCAAAAGCATAATGTCCTCAAAAACATAGAAATGCCCTCGAGACATGCATTGACATGATAGACTATAAATACAAGTTATTCTTAATAAGCTTTGAAAAGCCTGCCAGCTTAGGCATTATGAATTTTGAAAATATTAAATTATTCATGCAAATAGTGGTCTTAAAGTTGCCTTTCGAGATCTCAAATCTTATATCGAATGTATTTTTGAGGTGGGCTGATTGAAGGGGATAAACGTAGCTAAAACATAGGTGGTAGTTACTCGAGAGGTAAGTAGACATGTATCCTACAAGTGTCAAGATATAGTATAAAAGAGCGTTTCGAAAGATAAAACTAAGGAAAATAGCCAAATTCACCCCTAAACTATATGTTACTTATGTTGATGTTGCCCCTACTTTATATTTTTGCCCAATTTAATCCTTAACCTTTAGGGGTGAGCAAATTCGGTTCTTACCGAATTCATAACCGATTTCAAATTCAATTCGGTAATTTGAAATCGGGTATTTGGTAATTTGGTACAAATTCGGTACGTACCAAATTCACCGAATTCTAATATGGTATGAAATAGGTAATGAGATTATAAATTAGGTAATAACCGATTTCGCATTCAAATTCGGTAATTGAAATCGGGTACCGCATTACCGCATTCGAATTACCAAATTGGTATATAAAATTATATAATATATAGATAAATGCTATTTAGTATTAGTATATACTACTAATACTTTATTATATTATATAGGTAAATGCTATTAATAATAATTAGTATATGGTATTATCATCATATCATGTACTTATAATAATAATAATATATAATAATGTACAATATATTTTTATTATTTTAGTATTTATTAATTGTTATATGACTACAATAATGCATAGTAATACATTACAATATAAGATAACTATAATACTTATTATTTTATACATGAGTAACATGACTAGAATTAGATAATAATTAATACATATATGTATAATACTAAATATTAAACAATAAACATAATTAGTAATTAGAATTTAGATATTGGTAATTTGATACATCATTCATGTTTGAATTATTGAATATTTGAATGCGTAATCTATAACTTGCAAGTATTAGTGTACTCTAAATTTATATTACATATTCACTAATCTTATAAGTATAGATAAGACAACTAAGCAGTGTAAGTGAATATATATGAATTGCAAATCAATGTATTAGTATATTGACTTTCACAATAACATATGTAAATAAATAAGTTTAATTTTGATTTGAAATAAATTATAAGTTTGTAACTAACATAACTTATCACTAATCATTGTAATTTGTAAGTTTGTAACTAATATTACTTATTATTAATCATTGTAAATTATAAATTCATAAATTATTACTAACCATTGTACAGTCTAAGGTTTATTCTAGTTTAAATTAATCACTTTTTATGTGTTCCTTAAATCATAGACTAAGGATTGTAGGTATAAGTGATCAAATAAGTTAAAAGTTCATATTATCTATTTACTAATCTTAAGGCTTTAAGTATAGACAAAATAACTAAGCAGTGTAAGTGAATACATGTGAGTTGCAAATCAAGTAAATAAGTTTTATTTTGATTTGAAATAAATTATAAATTTGTAACTAATGTAACTTATCACTAATCATTGATTCATTGTAATTTGTAAGTTTGAAACTAATATTACTTACTATTAATCATTGTAAATTATAAATTCATTGTAACTACTAACTAAATTAGTTTAAATTAATCACTTTTTATGTGTTTCTTAAATCATATACCAAGGATTTTAGGTATAAGTGATCAAATAAATGCCAATTAAACCACAAAATGATTTGAACATAAGTAATGCGTTCAATTATGAATAAATTTGGGGATCAAATTAGTAATAATTTTTAAATCATTGAGGAGCATAATGAATGTATTATAATTTAGGAACCCCAATTTGTAAATTAAAAATTACAAAATCACTTCATTTGGAAAAAGTCGGATTTCATCTTCAGCTGATGAAAATTGAAAAGTGAGAAAACATCAAAACAACCATTGCAAATATGCAATATTGCATAGTGCCGTGACTGCCGTCACCCAGGGCTTTCACAGCACTAACACTCCCAAGTCCCAAGTCCCAATTCCCAAATCGAAGCTGCTCTCTGCCTCTCCGGCCTCCGCCAGTCCGCCGCGCTCTACGTCTCCTGTCGGCTGTGTCCTGCCGTGCTGGTTCATCGCTGCCGGGTGTCGAAGACGAAGCACCAAGATCTCACTAGTTCATCGCTGGTTCATCACTGCTCATCTCTGGCTCACTTAGGTAAGTGCTCCTCTGTTTTTGGCTCTGTGTCTCTGGCATTAAAATGGGCCAAGATCGACTAGGAAACTTGTTATCCTGAATTGATAAGGGGACGAAATCTGAGCGTCCAATTGCAAACTCTAACTGTTGTAGTAGTTTAGATTAGGTGTGATATAACATAAGCTTTGTATTTTATACACAAGAAGCTCTCTCCAGTTGTGCAGCCTTTAAAAGTTAAGGCCTTGGGGAAAAATTCCACCTTTTACCCGTTAGAAAAATTAAAAAGGAAAAAACTTGCTAAAATGAAAATTTACCTCCTTGTCCGTGGAGATTCTCAATCTCTGGTGCACATCTAGTGAAAGTACGGCTCCAGAAGTTGTACCTAGGATTCTGGATATGAATTTTCTGCAATGTGTAAAAGAGAAACATCTAATGGCTTGCGGGGGTTGGTAGTTGCTGAACTATAAAGATTGGTTTATATATTCTCTTAATTTGCTTCAGGTTTTTTTTTTAAAAAATAATAGATGAATTCGGTTAGACCGAATTCATTACCGTTATCGAATTTGAAATCGGGTACCGCATGAATTCGGTAATGCCCAATTCGAAATTGAAAACGGTTTAGATTTCTATAGGTGCAATAACCGAAAAAACCGAATTCAGCGCACCGATTTACCGCATTTGCACCGAATGCTCACCCCTATTAACCTTATGTTCATGTTGCAATTCCAATTAAGGAGTTTCATGGTAGTGCCACCACATAAAACCTATTTAACTCCTGATAGACCAAATAAATAAAGGTATTTTTGAAACTTTGGATTATCTCCTTCGTCTATCACCAAAATCCATTGCTTGCTACCCACGTCCTCTTCTCCTACCCATCTTCTCCCAGCTCTCCTTCTCCTTTCTCTTCCCTCACCTTTGATTTTGCTCTTAAATGAGACACATCTTGGGTTTAATCTCTGGTGAAGGATGCCCCTTTTATAATAGTGAAGGATGCCCCTTTTATAATAGTGAAGGATGCCCCTTTTATAATGCCAGGGCAAGCTAAATTCAACAACAAGGATCATCAACAATACCTTTTGAATAGTGGAGGGTTTCAGACGCTTCCATCTTGAGTAGATCTGTTATACATGGAACAAGATCAGATTTTGGCCTAAAACTAATCTTAATTACTTTATTCTTTGTCAATGCAACCTTAAACAAACAAATTCCATTTTCGTTTCTTCATTTACATTTTTTCACCATGTATACATGGATGGAATCAGAGAAAGAAATTGAGGAAAGATAAAAAATAAAATAAAATAAAAGGCAGAGAGAAGCATCCTACATTTCCCATAGATTTTTGTCCATTCATTAGTTTTATGGTTTACATTTCCTTCTAACACTTAAAAATTGTCAAGAATTTCCTTTCGCTAATCCAATAAAGATAAAAATCACTACAGTTGCCATCATGAAATTTTGACATATGATTACAATTCATAGATTCCTGTGACAATTCAAGGGATCTGATATGTGGCTGTTTCATTCCACTTTCTTTCTTTTGACCAATTAAAAATGGTGGAAGTTCGTTCTGCATTTTTCAAAAAGGTTCAATCTGAAGTTTCTTACTTTTTAGTTGGATATGAGAGAGGCAGATAAGCACTAAGAGGTTCCTTTCATTACTTTATTTATTCCATAGGAATCAACTCTCTCTTGTATCCCAATACGTGAAAATTGCTTAAATTATTCTGTCACACTTCTACAAAGTAAATGCAAAAAGGCATAACATAAGGTTGTCATCTAGATATGGAGAATACTACTAATGGACAATTTCTGAATTATTCTTTCTTCCTCATGCTGATAATCATTCAATCCGCCACTTGAAATTTCCTTTCCTAAAACAAGGTTGCTTTTAGCATTGTAGGAATAGAACCAAGAAAAACTGTCTTTTGCTTCTTGGTTTGTAAAGGTTGAATGGAACTGTCTTTTCTTGGTCACATAATTAAGAGCTTCTTGGATTGAGATGTGAAAGGGGAACGAGAACTAGTGTATGATACAGTAACTAAATTTGAATTTCAAATTTAAATTCAGATTAGTTATCATTCATTAAATGGTGTCAATGTGTACGTAAATGTGTATAAGATTAATTTTATTAATATTCTCTTTTTAAGAGATTCTATAATTCCTTTTGGGTATCATACCCACAAGTAAAATTCACCGTTGGATGGTGAAAGAAATGTTTATCACTCTTAGATTAAATAATGTTAAATATTTAAAATTTAAAGGGAAAATCGTCTAAAACGTCCCTCACATTTTGTAAAATGACTTTTTTCGTCCCTCACTTTTTAAAGTGTAATTTTATATCCCTTACATATTCACATCGGTCAAATTTAGTCCCTAACTAGGTTTTCGATCATTTTTTGGCCGGAATCCATCATGTGCAAGGCACGTGATCATTTTTGAAGGGTAAATTTGTCAAATTATATTTTACATAATTTGATCTATAGTTCTCCACATTTTATAAAATAAATTTTTCGTCCCTTACATTTTATAAAATGATTTTTTTCATCCCTCACATTTCACAAAATGAATTTCTCCATCCCTCACATTTCAAAAAATGAATTTTTCATTTTTCACTAATTATGCGTGTGAATACATTTTTTTAAACACATGTATATGTCTATTTGATTTTGCTTAATAATAATAGCATAAACACATGTATGTAATTGGGCCCAACTTGTGGGCTATCTTCTCTTTTTGTATAATTATAACTAATATTTACCAATAGAACCTTAATTTGCATATTCTTATTGTATTTTGACTGAAAATAGCTTTATTGGCCAACTTGACAATGAATGCAAGATTATTTACTAGCTAATACCAGATGAAATCAAATGATCAAGTATAATATATGGTATTCGTATTGTTAAGTAAAATCAAATGGACACATACATATATTTATGCTATTCGTATTATTAAGCAAAATCAAATAGACATATACATGTGTTTAAACAAAATGTATTCACACATATTTTTTTTTAGGGTTTCTCTCACATACATAATTAGTGATGGATGGAAATATTCATTTTTTGAAATGTGAGGGATGGAGAAATTCATTTTGTGAAATGTAAGGGATGAAAAAATCATTTTATAAAAAGTGAGAGACGAAAAAATTTGTTTTATAAAATGTGGAGAACTACAGATCAGATTATGTAAAATATAATTTGACAAATTTACCTTTCAAAAATGATCACGTGCCTTGCACGTGATGGATTCCGGCCAAAAAATGATTGGAAACCTAGTTAGGGACTAAATTTGACCGATGTGAATATGTAAGGGACATAAAATTACATTTTTAAAAGTGAGGGACGAAAAAAGTCATTTTACAAAATGTGGGGGACGTTTTGGACGATTTTCCCAAATTTAAACTATTATATTTAATGAGAGATAGAAGTTGAGAGAATGGTACTCCAAAATGATAATAAAATTTTCCTCTGTTTATATATAGATTAATTTTTTTTATACACTGTTAGTGTACAATTTTTTTGTTACATTAACAGGTTTAGATCATGCTACACAGCATAAATTCAAATAATGTACATATGACATACATTTACAATAGCTAATGTAAAAAAATTACTACATTGTTAGTACATAAAAAAGTTAATCTTTATATATATATATATATATATATATAGAAACCCATCTTGCTACATAATATAAAGTAAAATTATCTCTAATTATTTTTTATAAAAAGTATGATTATCTCATATTACTTACACTACCACAGTTTTCTTTTTGTTTCTACATATTACACTTGTTGGACCATAAGAAAACTCATATATTAATTTTATTTAGACAATAAAACTACTACCAACTTTTTCCAACTTAAATGTTTAAGTGGAATTTGTATATTTACTCCTTAAATTAATTCTAAAATCTCACAAATTCCCTAAACTTTTATTTCAAACTCTTTAGTCATTGCACTATTTTGAAGATATCATGGATGTTTGTAATTTAGTATTTTAACTGTTTAAGTCCCTGGATTCTTGAATTATACCAAAATAATTCGTTGACTAGTCTTAGTGTACTTTTTTTGGCATAAAATATACATGTGAAGTTCAATTAAAACTCTTTTCCTATGCTTCTACATGTACATAGTCAAATAACAATCACAAATTTCCTATACTATGTACCAAAAAGTTTGTCATTTAATTCTTTAGTTGAATTCTAAAGAAAAATTATGACCATGACAAAGAGAAAACTAAAAATGTATAAGTCAAAGGAACTTTGCAAGTTTTAATGATTCTTTATTTCACTATTTGTTTTCCATATGACATCGTCGATCAAGCTAAGTATCATATTCATATACACATTCATAAATTTATTCTATGATTTCAAAAAGTAAACTTGATAAGTAATTGTATGATTGGTTTAATTTTCTATAAACTCTTCTATTGTGTTTCTATTGTTTAACTTTTTTCTTTGTTTTGGTATCAAAATGCACACGTAGCCAATAGGATTACTTCAATAATCCCAAAAGAATTTAGATACAACTTGGTCGATTCTTATGTGACTTTAAAATTAGTTTAGGGAATAAAAAGTTAAATTGGAAACTTGACTAACCTTTTTGAGATTTTAAAACTAATTTAAAGACTATATATACAAATTGACCTAGTTTTGATATAATTGCACTATATCCTCCTAGCGTATATTGTAATTCTCTTTTTATCCCTTAATCTTTATTTTATGTTACCCACCTCCTCCCTGAGAGACAAAACTACCCCCTCTATTATACTGCATTTTTTATTATCCTATTTTCTTCTTTCTTTTTCTAATGAATCTTAATCTGTAGTTCAATTTTGATCCTCTAATTGATGGTAATAAAGTGTTACATTAGAGAAGTAGATACATTGGGAAACAATACTTGTAACTTTTTTAAGGAAATGGGAAAGAAAGGAATCTAACAAGTAAAAACATCATTGTAGAAAAAAAAAAAAAGAAATGTCCAAATAAACGGCATGTGAAAGTGATTATAAAAA